TGGGAGTTGGGAGCGTTGGGAGAAATCTTTCATTTTTGTAAATAAAAAGATAAAATATAAAATTAATAAACTTTTCTGCAGTCTGCAGCAAATATCACAAGACTTCTTTCTTTAGCGGAAATGCCGGTGCCTCAGCGAACAAAGATTTGTGGCAACCCTGAGGAAAATCAGGGGCTTTCCTAAGGAACTCCAGCTCTAACAGGTAGTCGTTGAGATTTGGAATTTTGATAATTTACCTGCAGAGTTCTGTCAGTTAAATCATTTCGAATTAATTTCATAATATAGACTGGAAAATTAAACTTTTAAAATTAAGCAATCAAACTTTCATGCCAAACACTGCCGAATGCTTTTTCTATGTCTAGAATACAACTCCAGTTGAGCAGCCTTCAGGTTTGTTTGAACGAATTAAATTGGTAGCTCTTAAGAGTTCATGAGTAGTTAAATGCCCATAGTGAAATCCAAACTGTTCTACTGCAAAAATTGAGTTCGTATTGATGTCTATAATCATTCTATTCAAAATTATTTTTTCAAAAAGTTTACTTATCGAAGAAAGGAAACTTATTGGACGGTATCTATGAATTTCAGCTGAATTATTACTCAGGCTTCAAAATTGGAAATATTTTTGCATTTTTACATTTATCAGGAAAGTATGCTAAATGGAAACATCTGTTTTTAATTTTACCAAGAAAGACCAGGAGTTTTTTGATAATTTCAACAACATCTCGAGCTGTCATATTATTACATTTTTTAGTTAAAGATCTTACTTCGTCTGAATCAGTCCCCCATCATCATTAATATATTCCTGGGAGAAAATATTCAGATAATCCCGAGAAACCTGATTCTCAACAACACTAGTAAGACCCAAACTGAAATTATGGGAACTCTCGAATTGCTTAGCAAGTTTCTGAGCTTTTTCCAAATTTGTGATCAAAATTTTACCACCTTCTTTAAGCGCTGGAGTAGACTTTTGAGGTTTTTTCAAAAATTTTGTGAGTGTCCAAAAGGGTTTGAAACTCGGGTCTAATTTCGAAACATTATTTTGAAAAGTTGTGTTCCTCAGGACAGAGAATCGCTTTTTAATTTGTTTTTGCAAATCCCGCCAGATAACTTTCATGTCAGGATCGCGTTTTCTTTGATACTGTCTCCAACGGACATTTTTCAGGCGGATCAAGCGCTGAAGATTATCGTCTATTATAGTTGAATCGAATTTAACTTCGTATTTTGGTACTGATGCAGCTCTTGAAGTAACTAAAGAAGTAAGTCGTCAGAGAGTCAAGAGCATAATTTATTTCATCTTTGGTTCGCAAAGGAATATTTTGATCGAAGTTATGTTCTATAAATGTTCGATATTGCTCCCAATAAGCTCTATGGTAATAGGAAGTAGAGCTGGTGGGATAAGAAATTATTTCTTGAGATACTTAAAACGTTACGGATCAGAACCGTCAGAACAGTCAGCATAGGAAACCAATTGGCTACAAAGTCTACATGAACCGTTAAGACCAAATCAATAATTGAGGGATTTCTTGCTGAAGAAAAGCATGTTGGGCTGTTCTGATATTGAATAGTGTAATAACCTGCAGAAACATCAACAAACTGAATATTACCTTTGGAATCTGTGCTGCAAAATCTCGATAATAAACGGTAATATTCACCGGGGCCTCCCTTGACTCAGTCGATAAAGGCGCAGCTACAAAGCAAGACCATGCTGGAGGTGGCTGGGTTCGGATCCCGGTTCGGTCTAGGAATTTTTCGGGTTGGAAAATTTCTCGACTTCCCTGGGCATAGAAGTATGATTGGACTTGCCACACAATCATATCAATGCAAAAATGGTACATACAGGCATCGAAAGCTCTCAATTAATAACTGTGGAAGTGCGTCTAGAACACTAAGTTGAGAGCACGCAATAAGCTAATATGCGATATGCAATAAGCTTGAAATGCGAAGAAGAAGTAAGAAGAATTCAAAATTTTGTTTTGGTCATTGATTTGAGCTAACAGTTAAGGAAATTATTTTATCTACTAATGTATTTATGCATTGATCACACAGTGTGTGCAAATCATGCTTTAAACTCTTATTTTATCAGAAAATTTATTGATGCTCGTGAGTTTTAATCATCATTAAAAATTATGCTTTTATCGGGTAGTTTTAAATGTTTGGTTAAGGCGGACACTTTGAAGGATAAGATGGACACTCATAGAAATGATGCAGAATGATAAATAGTTGTAGTCCGTTTCTTGGTGCATAAAATGGGTAGAGTTTTTTTTATTTAAGAAAAAGTATGATATGAACATAAACTTAACGTACAAGCAATTTAACTACTAAACAAACAATACTAAATCCAGCGTTAAAAGAAAATTATGGCAATATAGAAGCAGTTCCAGCAAACTGTAGTAGCGGCATTGAGGCATCCCGTGTGGAACCAAGAGAAGCATTGTGCACACATTTCCCATTCCGTTCCTGCATCAGAATCCGAAAATTGGCACCCAGATATGTCACACAGGCTATAAAATAAAGTGAGGCAGTGCTTGTACGTGACCAACAACAGATTCCTCAGATGGAGCAAATGCATCGTCGGCATAGATATTACGATTGCAAGGCCTGATTCCTGTTTTGCTGAAACCGTTAATGTATTATAACTTTAAATTAGCTTTAACTTAACTCTTACCTAACTTTAACCTAACTTTAACTTAACTTTAACTTAACTTTAACCTAACTTTAACTTAAATTTAACGTAACTTTAACTTAACTTTGACTTAGATTGATGGTATAATGTAATATGAGGGCCTCGATGACCTTAGAGCGACCGGTTTTGCTTTATTTGTAAATATGAATACAGGGTAATAACAAGTGGTGTGTTGTAATAAATGGAGCTCGTTTGCTCAGTGGCAAACGTTTCTGATTACTGAGCAGAAGACCGTGGGTACAATCCCGAGCTCTTTCGCCTTATAGGATCGTTATAGGACTTCAATTCAGGTTATCGTTTGCCAAAACGAACACCGCTGCAATCCCAACCCTCTTACCCAATATCCCAGTGATTCCTCGTGGAAGTGCAGAGCATTTCTTGGCTTCCATCAAACCGAGTGTCACTTCAACACATTCCTACCAATTCCTTTCTTAACCTGCATTTGGACGCGGCTAACGCTGGTATTGCCTAGTTTCAAATCACCAGTTTTTACACATTGAGGATGAATGCTTGTCCCAAGCATCGTCTATTGGTTCTCGGTGTAATTACAGCTGATCTGGAAATTATTTTGAATACTGTTTTGTATAAGAAACTTTAGATTGGAAGCATCAAAGCCTCCCCAAGATAGCGTCCCAACCAGCAAATTGTAGTTATAATTAGTTTGATATCCAAAATCGCATATAGCATTTCAGGCATAACATTTAATAACGGCACAAAAGCATTTGTAAACAAACTTTCTAAGGCCCTTTACACGCGTACCAAAGTACGCCCACGCAAACAAACAACATCACCGAAAGTGGTATTGGTTTGCGTGGGCGTACTTTGGTTCGCGTGTAAAGGGCCTTAGAAAGTTTGTTTACAAATGCTTTTGTGCCGTTATCAAATGTTACGCCTGATTTGATAAATCTAAATGCGATCACAAGGATTTTTTTTTTCAAATTATCCTATTTTTGAATAAAATATAAACTAAGTAAAATAATTTTCTCATGTCACAAACCATGTCTTTAAAATTTGAAGCCTTCTATAGCACACTTTCTGTTCCTTACTGACTTATGCTTTGTTAATTTTACCAGTGATCCACTTGCTCGCCATGAATTCAGGGGATGAATTGAAGATTCCATTCAATCATAATTTCATCTTTTCCCTACCGATCTTATAATGACCCTTCTTCTGTCAATGAAACACCACACAATCATATCTCAACCAGCTCGCCATAGAATCGCCCAGCAATCGAATGGCAAAACCTCTCAACCCGGAAGATCACCTGCGTGGTTGACCGACCGCACAAAACCGGGCAAGATCGACCGATCGACCGCGCGCGCATGTTAATGAACTTCTACGAGGAGACCGGCGTCGTCGTCGTCATTCTACCTACTTCAGCTCCAGCTCGACAAAACAACCTGTCCTCAGATCAAAACTCGCTCACCAGACCGGGCACGAACCACGCGCACACTCTCGGGCATTAAGTGTTTGTTTTCTTTCACTTCTTCCCCCTCGTGTGCTGCTGCTCGGTTGAAGTAGCCCCCCCTCTAGGTCTTATACCACACTTTTCGCTGCTCTAGGCTCGGGCACAGCCACCGACCGTGCCTGTGTGTGCTCTTCTATACACTTACCGTGGTTCAGCGTGGAATTTCTGACCAACAGCAAACGGGCAACAGGTCGCCACCGCCGTCGTCGTCGTCGTCGGTTGTTCTCTTGAGCTAATTAGAGCTCTTTTGTCAGTTTTCGAAAAAGCCAATAAAAGCCAAACGCCGCAGACCAGCGACAGTTATACCCTGAAACCGAATCTAATGTTCAACCACTCGCCGCTGGCCTTTGAACGGGATGCATGTTTAAGTCCCTGCTGATGATGGTGCCATTTGTTCCTCCGGAGCAGCAGCAGCGAACCAAAGTAGATCGAAACCCAAATGGATCAAGTCGTTCGAAACTGGCTGACGATAATTTCACACCAAACGGTTTCCCCCCTTCCATTTTCTGTCACACTTGTCCGTCCGGGTGCGGTGGAACATTTTCGGTTATTGAACTTGAAAACATCGCGTTTATTCCGTCACTATATTTGCCCGTTTGTTTGCTTTCATTTTCGGACAAGTGCCCGAAAAGTTTGAAAGGGGGAAGAGACCGCAACCGTTTGCCCCTCTATAATTTGGCCTCGCGACCAACGCAGCAAGAGACAAGGTTAATTAATTTTCCTAATTCAATTTGTTTTTGTCTGTTCGAGGCTATTCGACGATCGGCATAGCATTCCCTATAGTTCTCATTTGCTTCTTTTGTACCGCAATCCGTTAACTCTATCGAACCATTGCTCTTCATTTTACAGATCACGAAGTGTGACACCTTCGTCGTTTTCCGGGACACCACCGCAGACAATGCACGCCACGGATGTGGCCTTCCAGAGCAGTATTCCGACCAGTGGGTTACTTCCGTCCCCCAACTCGGCCATGGCTGGAGGCCGACACGAGTTCCAGGCCCGCAACTATTCCGACATCATGCGTAGCTTAGCGGCCAAGTACCACAACAACAACAACAACAACAACAACCCCAGCAGCAACGAGTAAGCTTAATTCAGCGCTTTCCAATCGATTTTATTTACATTGGTTTTCCAATCATTGCAGCCAATCGAGTGTGAAAAATCCCTTTCTAGAGCCAAAAATGCGAATAAATCAGCCAAAATCTTTCACCGACAACTCCCTACTAGGCAGTAAGAAAAGCAGTCCAATTACCTCCACTCAAGTAAGTCGCCGACTTGGGAGCTTTTACGTTTGAACACTAATTGAATTCGCCCATTCGCCAACAGGTACCTAATCCAAGTATTATGTCTTCGTTATTTCCGGGTCTTCCATTCCAGTCGACGGTGTTTCCACCGTTGATTGACATGAGCAGTACCCAGGCTCTCGTTGCACTGGTAAGTTACAACCTGAATTTCACCCAGGAAAATTCCGTTCTGCATCCTCCGCTCCTAATCCCGCAGGCCCGCGCCGCCAAAGAATCCGGTATCCACAATCTCCTCAAGCCGGAAGAAGGAGGCCTGAAAAAGCCTTCGGCTGGATCTCGGAGCTGCTCGCCTTCCTCGCTGGGAGCATCCCTGGCGAACCATTTTCCGTCACCTTTTCCACCACGGTACCTGCCCGGGATACTTCCGAACCACCTGGCCGCCAGCTATCCGACGGCTCAACCGACGACCACGGCCGTCCCTGCGATCTCACCGCTCAAGTCACCCACCCGACCAACGGAGGGCCTCTCCACATTCCCACTGGATCTGAGCAGCGCCGCTGGCTGTGCACCGTCGGCGGCCAAACGGATAAAGCTGTCGCCGACGCCGAGCCGAAATCAGGAAACCTCACCGGCACCGAGCTCCACCAACAGTCAACCGTCCGATTCGCTGGACCTGAAGCCGGGTGTGGCACGGAAGTGTCACGCCCGGATCGAGGAAATCAGCGCCTGGACGGTGGACAACGTGTGCGACTTTGTCGGCAGCATCGACATCTGCGCCGAGTATATGCAGGTAAGTGTTGGATGTGATTTTTTTTATCTCTGTCAGTGTTTCGCAATCGATGATGATGATGATGATGATCGTGTGTTACTAGGCGCGATGTTTCGCTCAATTGATTCCCATGGAAAATGATTCACACAAAAAAATGTGTGCTATTTTTTCCTGTATAATTTTCTGAAATAAATTCAATAGAATCCGGTTGAGATACACCCCGTGGTGCATATTATTTCATTTATGGCCACCAGCATCGATTTCGACTTTTTTTTCTGGCCCCAAGTAGTCATCCCGGAACCAGTTCCGAAGATTCCTGTGGAGCACATGAGTTCAATCAGAGGGGAAGACTGCAAATTTAAAAGTTGAAAAGTGTTTCGGGATGTGGTAATAACAAGCTACAGTGCCTTCCCGTTTTTTTGGCAACATGACCTCAACAGTTAATGTTTTTTCTCCTGTTTTTACCAATGCTTTCTAGATGAATTTTAACGCGTTTTATATTATTAAAGCTTACATCAAATTGGCAACATAATAAAAATGTAAGATGTCGTGGCATTGGAATCATATTTGGCCTATTAAAAGTGTCCGGATTTAGGTGCATTGCGGTACCAGCCTTCTATGATGTTTGAATAGCGTTCTAGGAATGTCATACATTGAAATTATTTATCGATGAATTCTAATGAAAGTACATAAACCAAAGCAGACGTTAAAGCACTGTATAAGCTGTATCATCGAGGATGTTCCATGTATTTTAAATAAGTTTCCCGATCGGAGATAGGGTTGTGAATATAATTCTTAATAGGCTTAACCCGTACTCTTTTTCGAACGGATTTGAACTCAAAAATGGAGTAATTATACTTTAGATGACTTCCAAATTTATTTAAATTTCTATTATTACCATTGGATTTGATAAAGAGTTACAAATTATTGAGATATTGTGAGAAATCTAACGCTGCTTCTTGATTGCAAATTCGTTCTAAGAGTTTCAATTCCGTCCTAACGCATTGAAACGCCATTGGTTTTTCTAAGTTTTTCTTCGTTCTACGAATGAAGACAGAAACAATGGATTTGCTAGGAGTGCTTCTTTTGTTTTGATAACAATATGTTTAAATATTCATACAACGCACTCGAATAGGCTTTGTATTGTAGCTTAATAGCTAACGCATCGAAACAAAAGTATTATTGATTTGTGTACGGTGAAACCATGGATATTATTGCTACAATTTCGAAGACAACTATAGATTGTGCCCATCGTTGTTGCTACTCCGTTACTGTACCAATGAAATTTCACAGAGAACCACATAGATGGAGCTTGGGCAGGGGTTGAAACAGTTGACGTTTTTTACTACACTCGCTTCGTTGTCGTGCGCGACAGTCTGTTTGTTTTCGTACACTCATGCTCTACCGTCGTCTCTCTCACAAAACACAAACGGTAGAATAACATTCGAGCAAAAAGAAATTTATCAAATAACTATCATATGACATGTTTGATTTCGTTCTAATTTCTCAATTTGGTGTAAATTAAACTATTTATGATCAAAAATGTTATTACTAGGACATCATTGCTTGCTATTTTCAGAATTCACAAAAGCACAACATCAGCAGCTCTTATTATGAGAAAAACTAAAAAACATACATTTGTGACGGTCTTCGGCTGCAGTGTCGTATGCCAGAGCCTGTCATATGACATTTTAGTTTGGTACTGTACTATGATAGCTTGTGTTGCAAATTTCGGAGGCAAAGGCAGTCACAGAAAATGTGTCGACTACCTTAAACGCTTACAAGACTGAGCTTGGGATTAGATTTCCATCTGCAATGTAAAAGTTCACTGATCCATTCAGATCAGTACCGATGCCTGCCACGTCATCAAAGTCTTTGGGGAGGGGAAGGACAAAACTAATCGACAATCGTTGCTACAAAAGACCGAGTTTACCTCTGCATATCCACAATTGTCGCGGGATGAAGTTAGTGGGTCGGGTTATTTTTAGATCAGGATTCACTGTGGTAAGGGATGCGATTAGCGAAAGCAGCAAACAGTTTTCATTCAAATCTAGTGGCGATAGAATAAAGGCAAAGTGAAACGTTAGCCACTAAGCTACCGAACCTCGTCTAATGTACACTGCACAGTGTACCAGGAATTCAATCCAGCAGGAGAAAATAGTTATTCTCTGGTATTGCATCCCATTGAGTTGACGTCTTGAGTGAAGTTTCTTGGATTAAATAGGGCTAAAATTTAATGGATAAAAATAGTTCAAGTTTTCACCGCAAAGATGATGGCGCAGCGATACAAACCTTTTTTTTTGTTCCGCAAAATAGAGGTTTACTGTCTACAGCAAAGTTGTAGTATGTAATATTTTGTGAAGAGTTGCTGAAGATATAACAACTGAGATATACGAAGTTTTATAAGATTTTCCTGAAATTCACATTTTTAGTTTATATTTTGAGCAAATAGTCAAAACACATTGAATATTTCTCACTGTAAAACATCGTCGCTAAAACATTACCACCACCTGTTGAGTACACTGTGATGTGCAGTACGCTACACAGATGGCGGTAGTGTGTAAACTTCAAACGCAAGGGATTTGACTATGCGCGCCACAGGTGGCGGTACTACCAATTACGATACATTTAAATTGACCGTTAAGTGCTTGTTCGATGGACAACTTGCGAGTGTTATGTCTGTTTGTCTGTGCATATATCGTTGTGACCATGTTACAGTCGCTATAAATCAATGGAAATGCTTGGTAGTCTAGTCGCATAGGAGTATTGAGTGAAAACCCAAAACTTGATAACTTAAAAAAAAAAAAAATAACTCAAAAACAACAACAAAAACACATCGCTGATTTTTTTGTGTGTAGTGTAAAAAGCCTTAATTTGCAAGTAAAAAATATAAAACATATGGCGCCCTCCGTCTACAATCAATGAAAACCATAACAAGCAAATGCAATCCATGTTTTTCAATACAAAATCCCAATGTTTTACCATTATTATATTTTTTCCTAAAAAAGTGTTTTTAATTACCTTTTATCTTTGAAATCGCCCAGTGGTTCATAAATTATTATTTTTTGAAAAAAAAGGAAATGGTCACCCTATTCACACACAAAAAAACGAGTCGAATATTTTGCAACAAGGAACAAAACTACACATTTTTACAAAATTCTGAGATCCACTAGATCGTTTTGCTATGGAATGGCTGATACATATTTTAGGTTTCAGAATCTTATTTTTGCTAGCGAATAAACAATGTACAGCAATCGAGACTTGGTTATTTTAACAAACAGATCTTTAGAGTTGGTTGGAAATGCTATCTAACATTAAGCTTTAGTGTGATAATTGATTAGCTAGAGAATGATCTTAGAAAAGGGTAGGTAGATAGTTCCGTTAGCGGACGGCAGTTTGAAAATTGAAAAGAAATTGAAAATGAGCGAAGGGCCATTAATGCGACAGTACAAAGTCAAACGCACACCTTTTGCCTAACCCGTACGCATACTTGGCATACACAGTTTTGGTCATGAACTGCTCATTTGCTAATAACTTTGCACACAGTTGATGGAACATAGTTCTTTTTGAAGCAGTAGATAGAATAGAGTGTAAGCTTATTATAGATAGGTAAAAAAAGCTGGATTTTAATGCTAGTAGTAAACTGTATTTGTTTCTGCGTTGTAAAAATGAGGTGAGAAATGCTCACTACACATCTCGGAATTTAAGTGTTTAATTGATTAGTGTTGATTCAAATATTAAGCTTTACCTAATCTTCGCATATCTATAGTAAACTATGAGCCTAATCTATCAATTACTTTAAAGAAAAATAAATTTCAACAACCTCTTTTTGATTCATCGATTTGTTTGTACTTCCCCTTCTGTTCTGAGCTAGTGGACTTGTTCTTTCCAGTGGCTCTTCCATTAGTGGATCGCAAGAGTGAGCAATCAATTTTATTGAATTTGTTCATCTTTCCACTCGCAGGATACCGTTTTAATGAATTCGTTAGCTTTACTGTATACTGGCCCGAAGTTACCAGTACCATCTCTTAAGCATGACGAACTACCCAGATGCTTAACAAGTGTTGTTCAATCGATTTTAATTCAGCCTTAGTTTGAATAATTGTTTTACATTGGCCTTTGTTCAGCTTTTAAATATCTACATCTGGTGATTTTAATCAGCCAAAAGCTTAACAGTTATAAAAATTATAAAAATTTTCAGGCATTAAATAATAATCTTTTCCAACCCTTGTTCAGCCTTCTAGTTTTATTTAGAAAAAAAATTAAAATAATGGAAGACCGCTTCATACCTTATATATTTTTATGGGACTGCAACAAGGCTGACTAATTGGATTTACATATTTATATTGTTACTATATGAGTGTGCCCGGCCTTGCTCGGGATTCAATATTAGCTTGAGTTTATGCGCCAATTTAAATATTGTACGTAGCCCCCCTCTTATCGAAGGGGCTACCCCCTATGACCTCCACATGCCAAATTTGGTTCCATTTGCTTGATTATTTCTCGAGATATGCAAAAATTTCTGTTTCATTTGTATGGGAGCCCCCCTTTACAGCGGAGGAGGAGTATCTAACCATCATAAGAACCTTTCCCTGCCCCAAAAACCCCTGCATACAAATTTTCACGCAGATCGGTTCAATAGTTTCCGAGTATTTAAGGGTCAGACAGACAGAAATTCATTCATATATACATATATATATAGAAGATAACAGATTATAAGTCTAAAAATTAACTTTTCATTTCGGGATTCGAACCGGCAGTCGCTGATTCACAGGCATAAATCAAACCTACTGGACCACTTAAGCATATGTGTGGCAAAAAGTATGATCATTTACTTGAAACACGTCAACTTTAAGTTGAATAACAGCATCCGGAAGAGTATTATACAGCAGATGCAGTATTGTAAACAACAACTCGTGACAGTAAAACATTCTTTTCATTTTCAAGTGTAGTTAACACAATGTAGACACAAGTGCGCTATTTATTTTAATGGTCATGTGGAAGCTGTTTTAGTACCATAA